TGCAAATACTGACTCGTTACCGAAATGGCTGAGCAGCTGTTACTTATCAGTCTGATGGGGAGAAGCGAACCGGGGGGCTGCTTTCCAAGGGCCTTTTTTTTTTTTTAATTTAAAGAGGATGCAGCCAATCATGGCCTGTGCTGTTAAGTTTTAATAATCCTTAATGATTTGCAACAAAATCATAAATTTCCAGCGCTCGGGGTTAGGAAGGCAGATCCCCTCCTGCCCGCTGAGCCTGCAGCACCAGAGACTTGGCGGGCACCGCATCAGCTCCCACCGTGGCGCCAGGGCTCCGCGTGTGCCGGGATGTCCCCTGAGGCAGCACGGCCCTGGGGCTGTGTGGCAGAGTGAGCCAGCCGAGATGCTGCTGTAGGGCCCGATCAAGAGGAGGGGAGAGGCTGGTGGAGAAGCAAGGTGGAGGGGCTGCCCCGCGCCATCGCTTCTGCCAGGCATTGAGCACTCACGTGGGCTTTCGGGCGTCGCCGGACCGGGGAGCTTGGCATCACTCAGAGGAGGGCAGAGGAAGGGAAGGAGGACAAGGGATTCCTCCAGCTGATCACAGGAGCTTCTTGGGGCTGAGATACAAGGGAGCTGTAGGAGCCACCTGGATGATGCTACCTGTGGTCCCAGCTCACCAGGAGCCTGGGGTTGCATCCCACCCACCCTGATGCATCCCCTCTCTCAGCTGGTGCGGATGGGGTTTGCTATCCCCCAGTGACACGGACAGCTCTTCTCCCCCACGGGCAGTGCCCGTATGACTGTCCGGGCCTCAGGGCAGGGACATCTCAAGGTCTAGCCAGCTGGAGCACCATGCGGCGAGGCAGGAGGAGCCATGCTGAGCCACAGGGCAGCACCCACTCATGCCAAGGGGCTGTGCGTGCCCAGGGGACGGACACCAGCCGTTGGACCGGTGATGAACATCACTCAGGAGGATCCAACCCTGGTGCAGGGTCAAGCTTTCCCTTGAAAAAGCGGACTTGAGTGGGAATGAGGGACCTGAGTTTCTAGCTCTACTGCCTTCTTGGTGTGTCCAGTCTCCCAAAGCACAGGGAGAGACCTGCTTGTGCTCGCCCCACGGCTCCTCCACCCTGCGCGGGTCCGGCCGAGCACCGTGCACAGCTCTGCACGGCGAGGCAAGGCTCTCTGAATGCAAATTTCATTTCTGAGCCACTGGCGCTGTTTCAAGAGCCGGCAGCCTCCGAGCCCTTCTCAGTGTTACATATGTAAAAGCCTCATTGAACTTGACATGTCAAATTCAGGCCATTTGTGCAAAATCTCCCTTTAATAATACCGTTTCATTTCGCTCAAATGAGACTTGAATGCATGTAAAATGGAAAAGGATATTTAAGCGCTAACATTAGGCAGATGTCTTGCCAGAGGCCGATTGAATATATGAGATTTTGAAGTGCTTAACACGTTTTCGGTGCTCCCTCTTAGAATATGTCACCTGGCTTTCTTTTTTCTCCCCCTCCTTTCTCCCCCCCCCCCCCCCCTTTAAGTGAAGGGTATAAATTGAAAGAAAACAAAACTACAAGCCTTGGTTTTATGGGGTTTAACTCTTGCCGGGCAAGACTGTTGGTATTCCTCCTCCAAAGAGAAATTACCTAGTAGCTCACCTTCACAGAGCACAAGCACAAAGCAGCAGAGAGCGGGAGGCAGGCGAGCAGCAGCCCCACAGCACTTTGCAGAAGGGTTGCTCTCCTTGCTCTGCATGTACAGCTCGGAGAGCAAAAGGTGCCGGTCCCCAACTAAGCACCTGAGTGCCACCAAGGTAAAAATAAGAAATAAAAACAGCTACCCTCTCTGTACGCCGATGCCCTGTGCCCCCAGCCAGGCTGGTCCCTGCAGAATACATGAATATTCCTGGCTCGTGTGCCTGAAGCTTGTCTGTGCACTAGATGCAGGTCTCCTATCCTCACTCGATTTATATTCACCTGTTTTACACCTCATCCGTATTAAAGGCTTGCAATAAAGCACACTGAAATGTAAGACTCTTTCTGGAGCTATCAATGGCCCCAGCTCCGAGCTTCGGCTGGTGCTTCAGCTGCAGGCGCATTTCCCCAGCCCAGGGCCACCCGGGGAGCGCAGTGTTCACAAGCAGCACCCATGGATGTCCCCTAGGACAAGCGCGCGCACACACACATCCCCGTGCACGTACAAGTGTATCGCTGCATTTGTCACTGCAGGTAAATACTATGAGCGGAGGTGGCGATGCACAGGGGGACCCTTAAACCCTGCCTGCTGCTCCCCAGGCAGTGACCAGAGAGGACAATCTGCTGATGATGGGGGAGGCTGGGTGGAGAAGTGGCAGGTTTGGGGTTATGGTTTGAGTTTGGGGTGGGAGGGAAGATGAATTTGAGGACAAAAGAGGGGGAAAGGAGGCAGTAGGAGCTGTGGAGCACACCTCAGTTGATGGCCCCCAATGGGTCTACGGTGCTTTCTGAGCCCCTGGCTGGAGTTTGGGGAAGAGGCATTTATTGGCCATTTAAAAAACCTTAGGAAGTCACATTACAAATATTACAGTTGCTGAGTCAAGCACTTGAAGTTTGGGAAATGTGCCTTTTAAGATGATCTGTTCTTGAAAATGCAGTGCTCTTTCTAAAAAAATTATTTGGCAAGGGGCATTTTTATTTCCCTGTGTGACAGGTAGCAGATTCTTCCCTGCGTTACCAGCAGCAAACCTATGCTTCAGAGCTGTGGTTTCACCTCCCCAAAAGGATGAGGTGTATCATTAAAGCTGGGGAATGGTCCAGAGGGTGGAGCAGTGTTGGACCATGCCGGCTCTGTTCCTGCTTTTGCGGCTGAAGGACGGTGCGAGCTCAGACAGGACTATCTCAGCTCTTTCCCCCTATTTAAAGGGGTTTCTAAGCTTAGCAGATGTAGCCAGCAGTATCCTCCTGCCATGTTGTAGTATTACCTGTGCCGGTGCTATGGCATCCCGGGGCTGGGCATGGCGGTACAACAGATGCCCGGGGTGCTCGGCGGGTGCCTCTGGGGGTGGACGTGCTCAGGTGGGCAGA